GTGCCCATGGCACATCATTCATTGGGGCTCTCACATAACGGCCCATCATCAGAATGGTCCCTGGAGGGAAAGAAAGACAAGGTTGAAAAAGGTTTCCGATAATTCATTGAAAACAGAAAAAGAAACATGAAATGATTGGTATTTATCCCATGTTTCTATGTATTGGTTTTGCACATCAAACATGTCACCTCTGGATGGGGTTTGATGAAAAGGTCTTCCTTCTTGCCAGGACTGAAGTTGTGGCCCCCATGATACGACTTTCAGCCCGGTGGACACAGTGCCAGAGAACAACACGGCCGGAAGGGCGGTAGAAACGGCCCTTGTCCAGTGGTTGGGAACCATCTTGGAATTGTACATCCATTTCAGAGGAGCACCTTAAGAGTCGCCAGTTTTTAATACTGGAGAGGACAGTGCAGGAAATATTAAGCCAAAATATAAGTATAGCCAAAAAATATTAAAGATAAAAATAGTTTAGGTATAATTTTACACACAAACCTAATAATCGGAAAACATGATATTATCCATCTGACCCCTGGCAGCTTCGTCGTCCCGGCGCCCCTCGTACAGCAGCTCACAGCGGTAACCTTCTGTGCAGTGACGGGCGAGGGGCAGGTGGATGGTGGATCAACAGCAGCAGGGCTTCTCCGGCCCGGTCAGGCCTAGGCGACGCATCACAGCCTTTCAGCAGGGCCTCCCCTCTTTCTCCTTTGTCATTCAGAGTCCAGTTTTGACGTTCCCAGCTTCTCAATAGTTTGTGCTGTCTCGTCCTTCTTGGAAATTCATGATGTGTGTCATCAAAGACTATCGAGGGGCAAAAAGAAGTGCATTTAATTTGGAGCCCAATAAAGTTAGCCCTCTTCCAATTGTATCGCTCTAAGTCATTCACCCTTTAAGTAGGGATTTGGTTATCTGTTAAGGTTATCTATAACGAGTAAAACACTACTACTTTTATCGGGATACCGCTTATCGATCCGGTCCTTTAACAGTTATTTTGTTGGTTCTTTTGAGAAAAAAGGTAAATTAACTAAACAAATTGCAAATAAGTGAACTTACAGAACTGGTAAAGAGACATAAAAAAACAAAGTATTTACTGCAAAAATACAGTGGTACAGAGCAACCACAGATGGGGCATACCAGGTCTTGCTGCAAAAGGCCTAACGTTCTTCTGGGAGGAAGAATGAGAGGTTGTTGGTGGAACATTAAGGGACATAATGCTAGTTGTTGTTTAGACAAATTGCTTCGTGTGTTTACCGCCCTTACATTGCTAATATTCTTATTGCACTTCTTTTGGCAATGGTCATTGTCCACATCGAAGGCGAGTAAGAGGTTGAAACCACACTTGGGAGCGGCTTAGTTTCTCTTCCGCCATCTCTGGCCGGTGGGTGTGTGTGTGTGTGTGTGTGTGTGTGTGTGTGTGTGTGTGTGTGTGTGTGTGTGTGTTGCATGCATGTAGCAGCCGTGTGTAGGGATGGGTACACGAGCCCGGTATTAAACGGGCCCGGGGCGTGAATTATTAAAGAACCGTGGTACCGTTAAGGCTTCCAAACGTTAACCGGTCTTTTATCGGTACCTGGAGACATGTAATAAAATATATGTATTATTGCTACACAAACATTATATTGCCAGTTTAGTTGTTCCAACTCCGTTTCATAATATGGGCAAAAAAGGCGTGCAAAAATGCGGTTTTATTAGTATTTCAATCTTTCCCACCCAGACGAGAGATCTCTCTCCCCGGCCTGCTGCGAGGGGGCGGGGCAGTTTAAACACACGCAGTAGCTGCACATGCAGGCAACACACACACACGGACGGACGGCTTGAAGTTGGGCGGAGAGAACGCGCTCCGAGGTGTGGCTAAAACTTACCCGTCTCCGATGGGGAACATCCTCGTTTACCTAAAAAGTGCACATAATAGGTTTAGCATGTAAGGCGGTAACACGAGCATACATCAAAATACATCAGCACGGCATTTTGTTGTCTTATTGCATATTAGAAACGGAGTGCGGAACTAAACTGCAATATAATGTTTTATGTAGCAATAATACATATGACATATATTTTTTAAATGTCTCCAGTACCGATAAAAAAGACGGATAAAGTGGAGCTTTACGTTACCACTGTCTCCGATCGGAGTTGGTGAATAATAATGAATAATCCGTGCATCATTTATCTCCATTAATTTCCCCAAAATTGTGGTACTAAAAAAACCACACGTTAATCCATGTTGGTGTACTACAACTACAAAAAGCATCGGTTTGCTTTCTCATCAGGAAATGGCAGACGGGGTCAAACAAAACGATTTTAAATATCATCATCTCACGATTCATTTAATGGTATATATGTTCGCCCGAATTGACAAAACGTGCATTTACCTAACAGGTTCGTTTTCACTGGACCTTTTTTCGAGCTATTTTCCTAAAATCCTATGGAGAAATCCCATTGCTATTTGTTCCGGAAACGAGTGCAGTTTACTTCCGGTTTTTGGGAGACGCGTCACTGCACCACTAAATTGAATGCGATTCTGATTGGAATGTGAGGCAAGGGAAGCCAGCCGTCTCTGGCTTCCCTTGGGCAGGGGCATGACGTGAGCCTCATCTGATTGGTCAATCCCCTCCATTTTTTTTCACCAGGGAAGCAAATTTCGGCTTGCGGCCTCCTCTCGCAACAGAGAGTGCAATCTACTGTTTCACCATAACATCTAAGAGGGGCGGTGTTCACTCTTTGGTAAAATACATCAATGTAAGAATGGGGCAGAGACGGGCCGCAGCAACACACAACAAAGAAATTTTCGAAACTAAACGAAGTGTTATTTATTCTATTTTAATAAAATTATAACTACAACCGAAAAAACAGGGACGGCCTGGCTTCCCTTGGCCTCCAGGAGAAAAACGCCCACTGATTATATTGTTCCAGTTTGTTAATTTGCCGTCTACCACAACATATTTTTTGATGGAACCACTACAACTACAACAGGTGGCCAAGGATCAAAATGTTTAATTCCTACCACGGTGAGAAGCTTGAAAATTCCATTTTGAACAATACAGAGATATATGGAAGGTCTTTAGAAAAATTAAAGCGCCTGGACTCTTGGTAAACATTAACATGATTATTTTGGTTGGTATCACTTATTCTTCTCTCCATTCACACTTTAAACGATGGGATCCAAAATTGAGGCTTGGGCAGAAGGTGCGGGGGAAGTTTCTGGCCATCAGGGACCGGTTGAAGACTTACTGAACTTGCCGGCATTTGGGTCAAATATATCCTGTGCACCAAAATTGATCGCAAACATCATGGACCAATCACATGATTGAATCTAGCTCATAATCCTGTTGTTATTGTCGCTTAATAATGTAGGGGGAGTTAAGAAGGTAGGTTATTTTGTGAAATGAACCACAACAATGGTGAAGGCAGAATCATCGCTGAAGGTTATTTAAGATATTATCCTGCTTATTTACACGGCTACTGATGAAATCAACACCCAAAATTTAATATTTGGATTTAAATTTGGATTATATGGATCCGCTAGAGATCTGCTTGCTGTGTTTGGAGATAAAGCCGCAGTCCATAGCAACGACGCTGCCGTAATTTTACTTAATCAGATTTGAATATTTAAAAAAGGCCGTGTAAAAATGCCAGTCATCGTGAGGATTTCTTGGTATTGACCACCAGTGGGAAAATGTAGGTTGCTGACTTCTAGTGGTTTAAAGGTCACCTATTATGGCAAAATCCACTTTTTCATGGTATTTTATATATCCAACACAAAGAGACGCTGAAAGTTTCAGTAAAAAAGATTCCCTCTCTTTTCTCCCGATATTAAAAACCTGTTCTGAAAATGAGCTGATCAGATTTTGGCCACTTTATGATGTCATAATGATTTTTTGGGCTCATGGTAACCATTAGCCATAACCAACCAGGTAACACCCGCCCACCTTAAGACCTGGAGGCCAATGTCCACACGGAGACGAACAACGAATCCGAGATCGATAAAAAAATCTTACATCGGACACTGAATCGGGCACAAGAAACGTGTCCGTCCACACGAGACCGCTCGACCCGCTGGGAGACGCTGTTTACATATGCTGGGCCTGTAAGTGGCCGCTGTACTTCCGCACAAAATACACCAAAAAGCAGCGAATAAGACCCCCGAGCATGGTTGCCATGGTGGCCTGGTTTGCCTTCTGGGTTATTCTCAGCGGTGGATTTAGCGGAGAACTACATGTCCACTTGGTTGCTGATGGTTTTATGTTGGAGGAGCTGTAGATTTTTGCACTAACATCCTGTACGCATGTTCAGTAGTGTCCCTGGAGCATGAACGCAAACCCTGTGATCCGCCATGTTGTTGGCGAAACGCATCAGCAATGACGTGGGTGACGCGGGGGCTGAGCAGGAGAGATGGGGAGTGGCGGGGCTATGATCGTTTAGGCGCGGACACACAGTGCCGCAAGAGTTACGTTACCAGACCTTCCCACTTTGGGATGCGTTACCGTTTGAGGCTCCGTTTCCGGGGTTCTGTTACGGCCCTCGTGTGGACGAACCGTCCATACGATAAAGACTATAGCGGATAACACCCGTTCTGTCTCCGTGTGGACGGGGCCTGAATCTCCTCCTAGAGCACATTTGTTTTTTTAACCGAATATCTGTCCAGAGAATTGGGAAGTGGCTCCTTATTTCATCTAAAAGCAAAAGACAGAGAATCAGCACTTTAAAAAAAAAGGGCTGAAACAGAGGGGTTGATGGGATGCTACAATGCATGATCTGTTTGGCATTTCGAGCCAAACACTTCAGAGACATGTTTTGTATATATCTTAGAACTATAATATATTGATAAAAAACAGTATAATAAGGGACCTTTAAATATCTTTATGTAGATGTGTACTTCAGGGTGTGGTCTGTATACAGTGACAGCACTGTCGGGTGTGGTGCAACACCTCTGCTTTTCAAAATGGTGTCAGATTATTATGTGGAAAATATTTCTGTCTGGATATGTTTATCATCATATGTACCTGTCTCCCCACAGTTTCTTCATCATGTCTTCCACTTTCTTACACCTCTCTGCTGGTCCCAGCTCTGCGGATCCTTTTGCTGTGAACTTAGCCACATACATCTCAGCAAACTGCTTCAAGGTGAACGCCCAGCCATGGAGGCCAGAGCCAAACCCGACTGTGCCAACAATGGGGTCAATCTGAGGGGGGAGAAAGTCCATTATTCTGGGAAATGACAGCTGTAGGAAGTGAAATGCAACCTCTCCCAGCTATTGTAGCATATATTTGTGTCTGAGTGGTGTTGGAGCATCACCATGATGTTCCCCATGGGCCCGCTCTCATCCTCTCCATAGGTGGAGATAATGACGTTGACGTTCTCCACGATGCGCTGAAAGGTCTGAAAGAGCGCATCTGGCTCCAGCTGCAGCTCAAGTAGGGCCCGGTCCATCTTGTTCATCATCAGAACCGGTTTGATGCGCTCAGCGATGGCCTGCCGCAGTACCGTTTCTGTCTGCACACACACACCTGTCAGAGGAAATTAACAGGTCAAACTGGTTGAAAACATGGGAGCGTGTGTGTAGGCCTGTGACGGTTGTGATTAAGTTGTACTGCAGTTATAGTACAAAAGATTGATGTTATCAGCGTCTTGACAGATAACGCCATTCGGAAAGACACGTAAGGACAACTTTTATAATCTTTCTGCATGTGGGATTCTATTGCCACAAAATCATGGTAGGAATCAATAAATGTGACACATTACATTTGCAACAAGTCCTACGTGTGTTCGTGTGTGTGTGTAGGATGTGAAGGCGAGGGTGTGAGTCATCATTACCTGAGACACAGTCCACCACTACCAGGGCTCCATCGGTGACCCTGAGGGCAGCCGTGACCTCAGAGGAGAAGTCTACGTGACCAGGAGAGTCGATCAGGTTGATGAGGAAGCCGTTCCCGTCCACATTCTGCTTGATAAACGCCAGGTCGCTATCGGCAAGCTCGTAGTACATAGAGATGGCCCTGAAAAACAGAGGGAGGAAAAGGTTGGGAACATGTTCACCTTTTGCTATTACTGAGCCTAACCCTAGAAGTCAATTAAACGTTCAAACTGAATGTCATCACAATACTGCACAGGCAGATATGCTGAGTGGAGACGTTCCAGTTACTCCAAGAACTTCAAACTGGCTTTACTGGAAGGATTTCAGTAAATATGATTTAATATATGAATCAATGCCAGTGCAGGTGCATTTACTGCAATCAAACCGAAACCAGGATTTTATAAGATTTAGACTTGGGAGTTCACTTACTGTAGTAAAGACATTCACACAGTTCTCACCACCAGTGAAAGGTAACACAAGAATACAAAGGTGTTTCCTAACTTCTCTAAATCACATACGTTGATTTGATGGTGATGCAGCGCTCCTGCTCGTCTTTGCGTGTGTCTGTGAAGCGGGTCTCTCCGGCTCGGGATGAAGAAATGATCCCCGCCTTGGACACCAAGGAGTCGGTCAGAGTTGACTTCCCATGATCCACGTGGGCAATCACAGACATGTTCCTGATGTTGGACTTCTTGTCCATGATGGAACGAATCTGATCCGTGGTGAAGTTCACCTGGTGGAGGTTGAGAGTGAAGGATTACATTCATCCATTTAGCAGAGGTTCATTTTATTCGTCATTTAATATTTATGTATGTGCACTACTAGATCTCTGCAGCTGTTCCAAGTAGAGTTATAAAAAGAAAGACATGTTTGAAACTAAATCCAAAATCCTGAACAGGAGAAAAGGTGTGGGCCAGGCCCAGCCTAAAGACTTAACCGTCTGGTTCTTAAAGGTCACCTATTATGCAAAATCCACCTTTTCATTTCTTTTATCCATAAACATGTGCCCCCTCTGTGGAAAGAGATTCTGAAAGTTTCAGGAAAAAATATTCACTCACATTTTGTCCTCATCCATTTATAAAACAACCTGTCTGAAAATGAGCTGATCAGATTTTGGCCACTTTATGATGTCATAACGATTTTTTGGCTTGTGTAATCATTAGCCAATCACCAACCAAGGTAACAACCGCCCACTTTATAGATATAGAATATTTGTATATACTTATTGTCAAAGCATTTAATGTATTCATTGCTATCGGGATGTTAAGAGAATTCCATGGAATATAACAAAAAAGTGTTTCTGAAGTGAATTAACTACCCTACCTTAAAACAATAAATGTTGCTGATGCATTATATGAGATCACAAAAAAAAAAGTCAGGCATAAAATTCAGTAATAAAATGGATGAAGGCCTATGTAAAAGTTAAGTTTACGGCACACAAGATGATTTATGATGTTTTAAGATGATAAAGACTTTTTTGAGATATGTTGATAACACAGTGTGTCAGGGAAAGATAAACATTGCCACTATAGGCATATGTAGCCCTCAGTATGAATAATTTAAAGCATAAGGGCAATTTCACTTAATGTCTTTAAATGTGTAAAGGCATTTAGCCCCATAAAATATAAGCTCTGGGATGCCCGGACATTCAAAGCCTGTTATAACATAATAGTAATTCAATAAGCTATAACAAATCCCCCATCCTCCAATAGAATAAATTCTCTGCAGCTCTATTTGTGACGTACTTTATAATTGATGTTGTCGTCAGTTGGAGAGTTAATAGGCAATAGCTTGCAATCGCATCTAAGAACAACTTTATTCAACACATTCGTATACGACATTTGTCCCCATGTGTCTTGTTTCTCACAGTTTGTAAACACATGATATCGGTGTTGTCATTCTACTGCAGCAGCTTGATATTTAAAGAATTTGCTAAGATCGTCACAGCGGGCCGTGCGTCCAGGCCACAGACCGCGCTGCTGTCAGCTGCGTAGGTGATAACAGAGCCTTCATCTGACCACATATCACCGCTAAAGCTTCGACATCAATACCACAGACACCTGACAGCCTCTATTGCAGCTCGTTGCACCGAAACTATAAGGCTTTAACTTTTTATAAAGAATGTACGCAACGCTTTTCGCATGCGAAAAATAGATTAAATACAAAATCATCGGGCATGTAAGCCCAGTATCAACTCACCATTTTGCCTGCAGACAGTTGGTCTTTGAGTTTACAGATGTATTCCTGTCTCGGAGGACAGGCAGTCCCGGTGGTGACAGAAGAGACGCTGCTACTTCTGCGGATGTCGAGTTGTGGTGCAGAGGCTGCAACAGCAGGGGGCGCTGCGGCTCAACAACAGCCGGGACACCTTTCCATGGATGCTTGTCAGCTGCTGCGAGAAGGGTCCAGCTGCAGCCGCAGGCAGACGGTACAAAATACGGCCCCTACAAAATACGACCACTTGTACGCGACACTAACCCTAACCTAAATAGTATATACATATCTAAAACGACAAGACTCTTCTGATCATATTTTGATGTTCAATTTCCTGCAGGTTCCTTCCCCACGGGCTTGCTGCAGCTGGGTATTATTGGCTGCTGCACTGAGGATACTGGATAGGGTTATGTTTATCCATTTCTGTGTGAGAAAGAATGCATTTTATGTTTTTGTTATTTTATTTCCAAGTATTTTAATCATGGTGCCCTATAAAACCAAGAAGTTTCATTTCATTAGTCAAAAGGCAGTTTTTAGTCACCAGTAGCCTATTGTCAAGAAACATCAGTTTAGATGTTAGACTACTAGCGTAATTACTTTCTAAATGTTAATCTATACATTTTTTATGGTATAAACATGTTTTTTGTTATATATATTTTGAAGTAATTTGTTATTATTGAGTAGGCATTGAATGTATGTACATGCATTGTACATACAATAAATATTGCCCAAAATCACAAACGTGCCTATTGTAATGGTGTGTTTATGTTAATTATTTGACTGGGTAAGTCTCAGTTATCAGTTTTAACCAATTACTTGATCTTCAGAAATGTGAGTTTGAATTAAAAAAAAAATCTAAACAGTACATTAAGAGCATATTGTTATAGTTGGAGGGGATGTTCACGTAGCCTACAATGATTTATCCAGGTAAATTCCTAATTGCTAAAATGCTGATAGATGTATTGTTATTTGGTTGTATTTCCTACTTTTTCATGCTTAATATTGCTGCAGGTCAGATGGTGAATATAATCCTAGTTCAACCATCACCTTGGTTCATGTGACAGGAGTAAATGGGGGACTAGCTGTAGTAACACTATTGCTGTTGGGTTTGTCATTGGCTTTAATAAAAAGGGTAAGCAGTTTGTATTTCCCTTTGGAAAATGTGGTTCCTCGTGGACACAGCAGTGTTTGTACTGATACAGGATGTTAGAGTTGCTTTCTACCAGCTGAGGGCAGAACAGGACAAAACATCTCAGGCTGGTTGAGAGAGTCTAAAATGGGACTTCAACTGGGAAAAAATATGTTCTATGTATAAGAACAGGCACATGTCTGTTTGCAGAGGGTAATGGGATGCTTCCTGTTAACCCCCAGTGGACAGAAAATGCTCTGAGGAGAAATGCACAACAAACAAGTTTTTTTACAACCATAGACAAATCTTTATAAAACCTAGAGAAAAAAAAAACACCAAAAGTACTATAAGCATACTGTAGCAAGTATGTGATTTACCTTTTAATGGGTGTCTCTCTTCATTTAAAAAAGGAGTTGCTTTTCAGTTATTACAAGAGGTTTAATGATCCTTTTTGTTTCTAAATCTCAGCTACAACACACAATTAATAAATCGGAAAGAACTTGAGGTTAACTTAACACAAGGAAGGCAAGATATTCAAGCTTCTGGTGGGAACAATACTGTTCTCTGGTCTATGATTGTAGCGACGACACGTTTCCACCAGGTTTTGTAGACGCCAAAAGGGGAATTCTGAATATGAAATCTGCCCTCATCAGAAGGTTTTACAAATATAAATAACTGACTTCTATGTTGTACAGATGAAGAGAAGAAAATAATACAAGATAATACAAATCCATTCAAACTGTAGGATTACATGATTACTCAGATTTATATGAATAATCTGATATATTTCACCACTATACATTCAGCATAATTAAATATATGAACGAGATATTTGTCAACAATGCAGATACATATTGCATGCTTATGGGGAACACTGCAGAAACTGAGCTGACCCTATATTGAAATGAAGTCAAGCTCTTTAAGGTAATTTGACAACTGACTAAAAACATTAGTGACTAAAATAATTATCTTTACATATCGCACTGGTCAACGTGACTTTTAAGGAGAACTTTCTAGACAGGGAGGCCGTTATCTTTTTTATGTTTATGATGTTTGAGATTAATGGGGAATAAAAATGTGCTGAGCTGCTGACAGAATGTATTAGCTCGTTGTTAATCTTTATTTACTAAATGTAGGTTTTACCAGTTAAGAAGACCTCTGAGCTTGAGCTACATATTTTTACTTTATAGACTTGCCTTTGTTTCCTCAAACACACTCTCTGCTTAATCTGCATGTGACAAACATCATCTCAGCTTTAATTTATCTTCACACCCACCAGATCAACCTATAGTATTTTAACATGGGCCTTTTCAATTTGGTAGCTCGCTGTCAAGTAAATGAGATTTTGTGTTTTTGTTTGACTCACGCTAATACGTATTGGTCTCGAACCATGGAGGAAAGTTCAGGAGCGTGACTGTGTTTTTTGGTGAGTCACATCCAGAAATGTCATAAATCTATCCTTTACCTAAATGTGAAATACACCTATGAGTGAATGCAACTCTTCTTGACCATCAGTCAGTCACGTGCATCCGAATACACCACATTCATGATGATACAGTATGATATCATCAGCAATCTGCAATAACACAGCAATTATCTGTACTGAGCTGTAACCTATTACTGATATCCAGAGATGTGCTTCTTAGATAATATCTGCATGTACTTTGAAACTCTATAATCTAAGATACAACAACAATAAAGATAGCAGAGCTCCGCTGCCATGCAATTATGCTTATTACAGTATACTGACTATCTGCCATAGATAAGTGGATAATATAATGCAACATGCACATAAGGTAAGGGCTAGAAACACTGAGGAAGATCACAAAGGGTTTGTAATGGGGACGCAGTGTATGAATTATTTCTGTTTCTGATCCTTCTGGCTTGTACCCTCATGAAACCATAATGCAAAGGCTCCAAGCAAATTCACTTGGCTGACTTTGAACCTTTTCCATATTAAAAACATATATATGAGGATTTTTTTTTAACAGTTTAGAGATTCTCAAATTGTATTTTTGTTCACCAAAAACCCTGAGCTGTCACCACAAAGTGTTGAAATCCCTTCAGAGCAGCTTCAGAGAGTTAGATTTATCCACAGAATACACTAAAACATCAACATCAGAAAATATAAGAAATAAATATGTTTTTCATCTTTACAGTTTATGCAGGAAATGACTGGGGTTTTCGCAGTACAAAACCAGGCTTGAATCTGACCTGTTTGTTTTTGTGTGGCACGTCCTATTTTGGCTTCCTAAAAATGATGTGAAAAGTTTAAATGAAATAGTGGTGGACAAGAATCCAAAGAAAATCAAAAGAAAATATATAATGATTTATTTTAACACAAATTATAAATTATAATTGTCTTATTTATTTATTTGATGGTTTGAGCAACAAGATTTACATGTAAGATTTTCCCGTAGAAGTGTTACAACACAACACAGTGGTGAGAGGGATGGAAGGACTGTGTTGAAAGTAATTCTCCAAACAAGACGACAAACCATTGATTATAGTTATTCTGTGCTGAAGGAGGTACAGTATAACAGCTCCGCCAGTCAACACTTCTTCACCAGTGTGATAATGGTTATTTATGTGTGTGTGCATGTTTATCTTGTGTTATTGCTTGGAGAACATATTACGTAAGGTCTGCCCTTTATGGTGGGTATTCTTCAAAATAGATGTCCCTAATTATTGCAATAAAGATAAGAAACTATGAAGCACGGTGAGTTCGTTCTGCAACATCGTTCTTCAACATTGGTAATAGATGGAACGGCACAGTGTTCTTTTATAAAGACATTCAAAAAAACTGTGAAGATTGTCGAGAAGGACCACTTCGACCATTATGGAGAAAATTGAAAGTGAATTCAGTAAAAGTTTGGCAGACTCAGTTAGAAGTGTGGAAGGATAGTTTCCCAAAATGGTATTGCTTTTGTCCCTTTACAACAAGGCAGTGTTCATTGGCAAACTAAATTAATGACAATGCAACCCTAAAAACATTTAACTCAAACCACTTTTTTCAACCTCAGACTGCAGCTATATCACAGACAAACAACATCCTCCTCCTCCTCCTCCTCCTCCTCCTCCTCCTCCTCCTCATCATCATCATCATCATCATCATCATCAAATCCAATAAACCTGGACTTTCTGCTGACAGTGACAGATGAGATTTACAGTGTGACTCCCTCCATCTTCTGCCTTTGAAGCCAATAAAAGAGATTATCTCAAAAGAAAATACCCTGCCCAACAACAAATGAATGTGAAACCACACAGGGAATCAAACCCTTATCTTGATGACTTCAAAGGTCACTCTCTGCTACCTGTGAGCAACTGTGAGTAATGAATCTGTCAGCCAGTCTTCCTTTTGTGGAAATTGGCTCTCTCAGTTGACTGCTAAGCAGCTGATTGGACAGTGATCGGCTGGGCCTGGGGAATACAGTTGTGTGATAAGACCTTTCGACTTTGTCCCTTGCAAAAGTCTCAGACATTCTTACCAGACGTCAAAGACACATTGAGGAACGTGGTGATCTGGTTGTGTGTTTTCATTCCTGCTGGATAGTTTCACGTTCATTTCATCAGCTGCTGCTATTATATTGGAATTATGATGCTGAATGCAAGCAAGGTGAGAGACTTTAACTTGACAATTGGGTGCAGCTATTGGTTTGTTTTAAAAAGATAATATTTCAGTCTGATTGGTATTTAAAAATTGTTTTAAAAGGACAGTTCTCCCAAAAATAAAAAATGGAAATGTTTCCTCTTATCTATAGTGCTATTTATCAATTAGTAGCCTATGGTTTAGGTGTGATTTGCTGAGGTATTCGCCGTATAGATGTTTTCTTTTTACTCATGGAAGTAGATGGCTCTCTGTGTATGGTGCTCAAAGAAGAAGAACAAATATTAATTTCAAAACTCATCAGCAAATTGTCTTTTCCGAAATCATGTCCGGGGTACTCAAGATAAAACACAGGCCTTGTTCGGAGCAGTTTCATGTAGGAACTATTTTCTTTCAAACGCAATACACATGAAATTGAGTGAACTGTGTTTTGCATTGAGTAACTGGGTACTGATTTATGGAATTATTTTTAAGTATTTTTTGGCACTTTGAATACCACAACCCTAGTGTCATCTTCTTCCATTATATTTAAGAGAAGGCAGACCTTTTTTAGGCCAATATCTCCAACACTTGGCAACCAAAACACCAGACATCTAGATTGATAAATAGCACTACAGGAACGAGTCAATTGTGTATTTATGATTCAGAGGTTGAATCATCTCTTAAATAGATGTTTAATTCATATTAAGGTAATAAGTCTTGAATTGGCCATAACTGAATATATTAGTTATTTTAAAGTAAGCAGTAAGAGCACACAGGCTATAAATACAGCTTTTCCTCAGAGAAACAATGAACACCTCCACTTCCAACACATTATTCAGAGCCTTTATTTGATTCAGGTGCACGGCGGGATTGACCTCATTGACCTGCTGCTCAGGAACACGGATGAAACCACCGGTTGTCACAGCAACCAACCATGGACTATCGAAAATAATGAAGTGAGTATGGAGTTCATCCTGTTGGCTACTGGGCAAACCATTCCGGAGAAAGCGTGATCCCAGCCAAAAATATCATTATGAAAATATGAACATGGTCTGTATTCTCAATAAGGGCCGAGTGTTATTGAGCTCTGTTATCTGGGGAGCTCATTCAGTTTCATTATGTCTCCCTTTATGGTTGAAACTGAGACTGGTATGAACAAAAATGGCAGGTATGTTTACGTCGTGTCTGTGCTCATCTGTGTCATTTTGATTATCTGATTAAATAAGCCATCGAAAAGTGGTGTTGCCATGGGATGAAGCTTACATACCCTCCTCATCCTCCTCCTTAGACCCAGAGCCCCAGGGGAAGTTCTTCTGATGACTTCCTGGACGCCCTGCTTGGGGGGAGCGACTCCTCCTCTGCTCAAGCGTCCCCCCTGTGGTCACCCTGCACCATCGACAGCGGCATCAACGAGGACGCCTCGACAGAGCACAGAGAGGGCCTTCCCCCCCAGCTATGCAAAGCTTTCCCAGCCTTTGACCTGTCGTCTTTCCCACAGCCTGCACTTCCAGAGAACCAGCCATCACCAAATGAAAGAAACTCGGACGTTTCCATTGATCTAGGTAAGAAAATATCAGATAAAATGATAATGTTTATGAATACTGATAATTAATACCAAAAGAAAGTTTGTTGAACTTGAATATACAGTGAGCCGTGAAATAATTGGATTGTCTCAAAAGCGAGTTTAAATATCACATGATGATAAAAACCAGGGTGAACCAGGGCATCGGACAGACAAGAATAAATGAATTTGTGTTACTATTAAAGAATAATGAGAACTAATTAAAGATAGTCTTTTCAGAGAGCAATCATTTGGTTTTCCCATTTTTTTTACTTCTTCACGTAAGGAGTTTGTCTTTTGAGAACAGCTAATTGAGAACAGCTTTTGAGAACAGCTTTTGAATGATAGTCCCCTTTCACAATGCTGAATATCAAAGCTTCAGTGCTAAAATACTTTGAAATCGACTGAATAAACCAATTCAGCCCCAACACAAATATATCAAACACAGAAAAAACTGTGAAACTGTGACACAAGAACAGCAGGCTGCAGCAATCAAAGAGTTATGATTCAAGACAAAGACAAAACCTACAAATGTTGTGCTTTGTTTGATACACATGGGGCAATTTTGTGAACCACCTGCTGTTTTACTGCTTCAATCTGCAGGCTGGGAGTCCGATGACCTTCAAGAGCAGTTTGGCATTGCACACTACCTCACTACGAGCCAAACCTCCACTCAGACTCTCACAGTGAAGGACCTGCTGCTCTCTAGCCCAGGACAGACAGTAAGCAATGTGCCCACCAGGGGAAATCTTTGTGTGTTGCATTCTCATAATATTCTGTGTGGTGTTTTAAAGGGGCCCGATTGTGCTAAATTTCAGGTTCATATTTGTATTTTATGCCTCTACTGTGACATGTTTACCTACTTTAATGTTCAAAAAGCTCTTTATTCTTCTCATACTGCCTGTGCTGCAGCACCTCTTGCACCCTCTGTCTGAAACCAGAGCCCAGCCTGCTCTGATTGGTTAGCTGACCGGCTCTGTTGTGATTGGTGAACAGCTTAGAACAGCCCCTCACCTTCAATGTGTTGAAGCACTAGCCAATAGAAGCGCAAGTGTAACGTAGTGATGTCACTATGTTATTGAAGTAAACAAAGGAGTTTGTGGGAGGGAAACTCCCTCTGGAGGGAACTTTGGGATTTTTTACATGCCAAAAAACCCTATATAACACGCTACATGAAACTTGAGTAGTCTCATTCCCGGTATATTTTTACAACCAATGTAACCCTTCAAAAGTATATTGTCTTTTTGGAGAAAAATACAATTACCCTATTTTAAAAACAACACATTTCAATACACAATTAATTGTAATTAAGAAGTATTGTACATGCAATTTCCCTACTGTCATAACAACATTGTTTTCAGCAAGCCTATAATATACTACAACAGCAAAAATAATTCATTAAATTCATTAAGCTTTTGGTTTTGATGTGCTTGCTAGCTCAAGATTTTCAGCAAGCAATAAGAAAGAGTTAAATATTTCTGTGAAATAATGACTTTTTGAAAACTTTCTAACCAATGGGAACATTGAGTAGAAAGTCTCAGTGTTAATAACAAAGAAATAATAACTAACTGAACAGTTCACTGCTATTCTTTATAATTTGACTAGAGACATGAGTAAAGAGCATCCTTTGCACCAAATATGTTATGAACTGGTCCAGAGTCTTGTCTAGGTAAACTGTCCAGAGAGTCACCTTAAGTGGTATATTCTGTCATCTGGTTCACAGGCGCTGCGATTTCCCCAGCATTGCCTGCAGGAGCTTTTATTAAATGAGGATGAGAAGAAGCTTCTGGCTAGAGAAGGGGTGAACTTACCCGGAAAACTGCCCCTGTCCAAGGTACATGAGCAAGAAACATACAGTACTGTATGTAGGGCAGACATCTTTCCACATTAACTGCCTCCTCTGTTTCTGGCACACACATGCATTAGTCAAAATCTAAATCTGTACAACGTTTGAAAACCTCTGCCAGTTTCTCCCGAGCTTCCCCTCACTTACTCGTTCGTCTTTATTCTCTCTTATCCCTATCTACCCATATGTTTCATCACCCTGACAAGTTTGAAGAGAAGATTTTGAAGAAAATCCGTCGGAAGATCCGCAACAAGCGCTCAGCTCAAGAGAGTCGGAAGAAGAAGAGGGAATATGTTGATAGTCTGGAGGGAAGGTAGGAGCCAGCTGCACTAAAGCAACATCACTGGTTTTCTCAGAATACATTGGCCTAGAAATTGAACTTTGATCTGTAATAATTTGTTGTGTTCTGTAGCACTCTATAATGAGCCTGGTTTTTCCACAACATTAACAAACTGCTGCATGGATTGGAACATTTCCATGAAAAGCTTCTCAGACTCGCGGAGAAACTCAAAGCAACAGAATTTTCTGGTTGGGAATTTAAAAATAGACAAAAAGCTGAATGGCAGTAGCTGTGATGGCTGAACTAACCTGAGAGACTCAGATACTTACACAAGGTTTTTCAAGAGAAAAGGGTAATACAGCTGTACCCAAAGTAAATGGATAACTGGGGAATTCAGCACAGAAATATCAGACTTATGTTGCCAAAAGCAAAACACAAGAGATATGGAACAATATTTTTTCTAAAGTATCCACATATATTTTTAACAGACACTATAAATGTAAATTATTCAAAGCAGACTCTGGTACAACTGAAAAGCTGTGTACTGTCCCTGCCAACAACAAAAAAAGATAGCTCTAGAGCCACAAAAAGGCCGATGTTTCCAATGTATTATATCAAGTGCTGAATAAAACGAGTGAGAGAATATAATGAGTACAAAGGCCTGTTTGTACTAGGGCACATTGTTAAACGCAACTTATTTTAGTATTTATTTAAGGGAAATAGAACATGTTGTGGATTGATATATCTAAAATACAAACTAACAGAAAAAGATTGTTTAGTCTTGTGAGGCCAACATATTCATACTTCTGAATATTTAAAAAAAACGGTAGCTCAGGGCTGACATATAAGTATTGAACAATCTCAGAATGTGTGGGTTTTCCAGCACATCAGAACAATGTACATACACAGTGCAGCTGTGAGCTTTCTTTGTCTGATGTGGGGACACTTGGACAGAAAACAACATGTAGTATGATAGCCAGCAGCACAAAAGAGCAGCTGTGCTCTGTGTTAGATTAATTGGAAGTTGAGGATGCTGCTTGGTTGCAACAGACCCCCAACAGAGGTGCAGGAGGTTTTGCCAAGAGCTCAGTAAAGTCGTCCTCGTCCTCGTCCTCGTCCTCGTCCTCGTCCTCCTCCTCCCTCCTTCCTTCCTCCTCCTCCTCCTCCTCCTTCCTCCTCCTCCCTCCTTCCTCCTCCTCCTGGCAGTGAAGATCAAGTCTCGTCACAGCCAGCCTCACTAAATGTGTTAAAATGTCTTTACATTTCTTAATCCTGCCTTCCTCCCCCACATTGGCTATTTCTTCCCATCACACCTACAGAAAAACAAGGTTTCCCATGACAGTGATTCATGTCAGAAAAGTAGGGTTACCCTGAATCAATCAGCATTTAGTTATAATTACATTGAAAGTCTTAGAACAGTATGTGTATTTCTACCTTTGGTCAGATACAAATGCATATTTGCGCTGACAGCAGGGCCTCAAAGTGGCCAAACATACCTTGTGCATGTCACTTTTTAAAATCGTGTTTATTTTATAGGAGCTTTAAATATCTGATAGAGTGCCACCAACACTAATTTAAGCATGAGCTTTGTTGTCGCTGGACGTCATGAGGAGATTTTCAACCAATGAGCAGGGTCAGCATATGTTGGAAATGATGCATGCAGAGCATAACACATGACATCATTATCAGTCGTGGTTCAGCTCAGATAACACCATAATAGAGTGTGACACACTGTGATAAACAAAAGCAAGAGCAAACAGCTGAAGAAGAAAAAAGGAGGGTGTTCGAAAAGATGACAGAATGAGGTGCGAGATAACCCTCAGCACACGGTTATTGGCATTGGATAAACATAGGGGGGACCATCCAACATCATAACAAAAATATTATATGTTTTTTTGATATTTATATCTCCCCTCTTCTCTGCTGTCTCTTTCTGTAGGATGTCCGCATGTAGTGCTCACAACCTCAAGCTGCAGAGAAAGATCCAGCAGTTGGAGGACACCAACAGGTGAGTCCTCAAATCTTCTCATAAATTGTTTTGTCTGACCAACAGTCCAAATACATTTAATCTATGGTGAATTAGAAGCAAACCAAATCAGCACATTTCAGAGGCTCAAACCGTTAGCTGCTTGTCTTTTTTGTTTAAAACTGGCTTTAAGAAATATGCTATCATCTGAAATTACAAACTCCCCCTCACAGGTGTAATCAGATGCTCCAATTAATAAAGCTAACCCTAGCTCTTTTTTTGGATAAGTTTTCAACTGACATGTTTTAATGAAGACCCAGTAAAATGAGATCTTATATGTATTTCATGGTTTCATATGGTACCTAAAGACTGAAACTGAATGCCACAGCTGGAAAAAAAACAGCAATGTCAGAATTACATTCATAAAAACTCAAAACCACATGTTGTCATGACACAAACTTCTAATCTCAGCCGTCCAGGTAGAGGCTCACCTGTGATTGGACTGTCACTGTTAGATGGGAGGGGTTCAGTTAACCGTCAGTTTACCTACTGAGCCAACTGCAGCTCAGCATCCTCCTCCAAATATTGCAATTACTGTCACAGAGACACTCTGTAATGGGCATTATCCTGAACACAGGAAATAAACCGTCCATGTTTTATCTTTGTTTTTGCCCTTATTTCTTGAAAGCCATTGGATTTGTGTAGCTTAATTCAATATCTCTTTTCTGCCTTTGATGCGTTTTGGAGTATATATCTCAGAGTTTCATTTATCATTTTGTGCCCGGCCCCTCACTCTCCAGAAGCTGCCAACCTGCTTATGAAAACGTTCAACTTCTTTTCAAACAAGACTGACTATAGGCTAAGTGCACATTTTCCAAAATGCAAAGCCCATCTAATTATGCAGTGAAACCTCACACAGTGTTCTCTGACTTTTCTTTCTCTCCATCCTGCCAACTCATTATGCTGCTTTCTTTCTGAAGCTGGCAGAGTGCCCGGTGAGTTGAAACAAAACGTGATAAGAGGTCGTGTCCCTGCACTTTTCTGCCACACGCTGTTCTACTTTCAGTTTCTTTTAAGTTGCCATTGTTCCCTGACACTGAAAAAAATATGCCTAACAAATTCCCAGAAACCTGCAGGTCCGCTACAACTCTTACTACTTTTAAATCCAGGCTGAAGACTTTTTTTTTTGCCGCTGCTTTTAATGGATATATCCTGGCTTAGTATTTTTAGGGTTAAAGTCCCCTACGTGTATTGGAGTTAAAGTCCCCTCGTAGGTGGTTATGGTCCCCTACGTGTGCCGTTTCGGTATCAAGACCCTGGTTCGCGGGGGACACCCACAAAGTCCTAGAAAAGACAACTTAAACTTAACTTGGCCTATGTGCATTTAAAAAAGAGAAACAGTTTTGGTGAAAACTAAAAGGTACCATGGGGTCAGATTATAATTTTCCAAAGGGGGTTCGTTTAGCAGGAAACACTGGAAATAACTAAAGGACACGTTAAACAAGAAAGTAGAAAGAAAGGGAGGTGATATAAAACTATTTCTATTTCTGCTAAAAAGTTAGCAATGATTGAGAGTCAGACCTAAACATTTCAGATGTGTGTATCTCACACTGCTCTGTAACTTTTATTCATGTACCTTTTGTTATTCATGTTTTATTATCTTTGCTTTGAATTGAGTGTTTTTAAATGCCATTTTATAATATGTTTCTTCATGCTCTTAATGTCTTTCATTTTCGTAAAGCACTTTGAATAGCCTTGTGTTGAAAGGTGCTATATAAATAAACTTGCCTTGCCTATTTTTCAAAAGAAACATGAATGTCCTCTCGAGGAAACTTTTACAAAGTCTCAATCTTCTTCCTGTGTGTATTTGCATTGCAGTGATCTGCTGGAGCAGCTCAGCCGCCTGCAGGCTCTCGTTCCTAACGGCTCCGGCAAAACACACAGAGGGACCTGCATCCTGGTGAGATATATTACTCAACATTACATTAGTTTACACCACTGACTATTTGCTCTGACGGCATAATCTGCAAAAACGAAATAGTAAGATACAATACCGTATTATCTTTTAGATAAAATGTTATGTAGGTTATGCCTAATACGTTGTACATCTATGTAACAACTATCAATTTTGGCCTGCCCTCTTGCTTTATGTCCAGGTTTTGCTCCTGTCCTTCTCCCTCCTCATTTCTGCAAATCTTCAACCAGACCCCTACAGTCAACCAAGCCAAGGAGAGTACACACAAACCAAAGGTGTGTATACACTACTCTCATTTTCTCTAAAACACACACATACAAACACCAACTCCTCTCTGCCACATCTCTGCCCTCAGTTCCGTCCCGCAACCTGCAGTCAATGGGTGAAGGGCGGGGAGTCCCACCTGTTTCTCTCTTCTCCGTCTCCAGGGGCATTGAGGCCCTGTGCCGGATGATGGAGAAACTCTGACGCTGAACACATCCCCCCATGATCAGAAGCATGGGAAAAATCACTGATCTACACGGGACCCCCAGGGGGGAAGACGAGTAATAGGAAAGCAGACTTGCTTGCATGCAGAGCATCCAGATGAGCAGTCTGAATAATTTTCAGCGTCCATTTCCCACTGCAGAGACTGAATTAAGTGTTATGGTGCGCTTGCCATCTGCTCCAAAACACAAGTAGCTAGTTAAAAGATTTAACTGAAATTCACCCTCTCACTCAGATTGAGGTCGGCCAGGAGGTCATCTAAACATTTCTAATTCTTCATTATGCTTTGGAAAATGGAGCCTAGTGGAGTATGTATTATATACATGATACTGCAAAAATGTATGACATTTTAAACAACACAATTGTGTACTACTACTACTGTATTTGAATACTTACTTTGAATGTACATGTTGAAACGGTTTATCAGAAATTATTTGCATTTTGTAACGCTTCAGTGCAATGCTGACAAAGCACAAGAGAATTAAAAGTTTACTGAAATACATTGTTTGAGCCCCAAAAGGGGAATGTGCCATATGTCCAATTTTTAAGACATTTGAATCCCAAAAATAATGACGGAAATGTGGAAAAAATGACATGTCATCAACCAATTAATTAGATGATGAGCAAAAGCTGCTCGATGAGTTTAATACACACATAATAGTAAGATTTACCTTCGTGCCAGCTTTTAATTAGGGAAAGTTTACTTGAGTTTCTTTTAAATAGTGAATATAACATCACAATTTTAGAGTTGAATTCTTTGTTGTTATTATACAAGTATAATTATTGGCTGTTGCCTGTTACATAGAGTCCATTCATTAGGACAACACTTCACTGGTTATTCTTGTGCCTCACACAATGTTCTCTGCCCATGGACAGAACATACACGTTTGATCTCATCTCAGTTTCTGTCCAAAACATCACAATTCAGACAGACATCTGTGTCTAGTTTACAGGATCGTCTGGGTAGGATCTCAGCTGTACCTCGACTACAACATTTGCATCAAACAAAAAGATAACTGGATTCAGCTATTTGTGCATTTTTAAGGGCCTAATGGTTAAATAAGGGCTTAAGTGTTTGTACTGTGAAGATGATTATTTATATTTAAAAAATCTACTTGTTTACAGATGTCTAATGTTTAATTCTGTAGCAGAAAAAGTATTTTTGAGACCAATGTCATCATATGGCGGACCAGGAAGTTGTAAAACTACATTATTGGCCAATCCGTTAGCAACATGGCTAATGTAGCAGTCTGGCTAACGTTACTGTGAAAAGCAAGACGAAAGAGCAACCACAGAACCAGAAACCCCAATCTCAGTCCTAAGATAAATGTTTAGTAAAACACCCAATAGTATTATAAAGTAAACACATTTACTTACTGATCTAGCTTAGTAGCAAGAACGTATTCTATGTTGTCCCTCTCTAAACCTTCTCCGTCAACATGGCTCTTTAGCAGGTAAAGTTTTTACAGTTGACATTGTTACAGTTGTTGCTCAAGCAGCTGTAGCTATTTTGTAGGTTTTCAGTACACCCAAACTTTCGACTCCATGTATGAATGATTAATTAGGTTGCTTTAAGTGGTAAAGAGGAACAGGTGGAGGTAGAAACTGTGAATATCAGAATGTTGATCATTAGAGCAGTGATGCTTCTACTGTTAGGGGAATCAAGCCTCAGGAGAGAAAGGTCACTGTTTCATATGTTGTTCATTAAAGGTTCCAAAAAACATTCATGCAAAGAAGCCAGAAACGTATTAAATACTGCAGTCAAGATCTGGAAAAAGTACACAGGGTGCAGGCTAAACGATTCTTTTTTAAAACGATAAAGCAATTTTGAGAAAAATCTAGCAAAAATATTATTATTTTTTAAAACTGTAACACTATTTGTTTTACTTTCGGTGTATGTATATATAATATAGATACGTAAGGGGGACTTACATAGAGAGCTCAATTCCTTTTTCTGCATTGCTCCAAAGAATAATAAAAAAGGTGAACACTAAATGTCCTTGGTCAGCCGAGAACCTACAAGAGAAACTGAAAGTAAGGCTACGGGAGCTCAAAGTGATATTAAATCTGGTTTCTAATAAAAACATATTAGAAAAAAGCACAAAGGGTCAAAACCTTTTATTAGTCTTTCTTCTGCTGTAGTTAAAACTAATCATTAAAATGCAATGTAATGTAATTTAGCACTTTAGATTGAATAAAGTCTTACATAATCCATGCAGGTAGTACCCTACATCAAAAATAGATGTAGGCCTACTTACTTTCCATGCTTTACATTGACCTTGACAAGAGAAAAATGTAGATGTAAAAAAAAAGTGTCTGGTAAAGCTTCAGCAAAATGCAAATGAGAAGCTTCACAGCGAGTCAGACTCAAACTATATCTGCATTTCCATCCATCTCAGTAGGCCTATAAAGAAACCTTCAACAACTAGTTAAACTAGTTTAAAAGTTGCTCCTAATCGCTTGTGGAGCCAGACAAATAAATGTGGAGCCAGACAAATAAATGTGGATGAGAACAAAAAGCTTCCAACTGTCTTGAATGGATTTCAAATCAATCAACATACAGTACATCTTAAAATGCAAGGGAAATATTGATGCTGCTTGAAAAATGTACTCTTTCTTACAAACGGCTGACAAAAGTGGGGCGTTGTGTGAATACCTAAAGTGACTTTTAAAAAATACATATCAGAAACACACATAAATATCTTTATTTTGCTGGCACTCTCCCAAAGACTGAACAATGTTTAAAATCGAATATATTATAAATCATTAAACATCTCTTGTATACCTTTCTAAAAATACCATCCTGTGTAATTTTCCTTAACATGCAGGAATATTGAAGGGGATATTTGGACAAAACATCAAAGAGGAGGATTAGCTTGTTCCATTCAAAATGTGAAAACAATAAACCATATGGCAAGCATAGCAAACACACACAAAAAGAAAGCACTGCTTGAATTAGGCCCACTGGTTTTATCGTGAGCAACAACATATCCAACAATCCATTCACGTTAGAGCAAACAGAATTCAGAAAACAGACTTTTTTGGTAATGAATCAGACTGCTAAACAACATCCTTTCCTTTTGAAAAAAAACCTGAATGTACATTTTTAATAAAAACAGATCAGAGAACTGGCTTTAAAACCAGTTTTATAGTGTTAGTGGGGATCATACCTGGTATCGACTGTAATGATCATACGACTAACCACTTGTTGTAATATTGCGCGCTCATGCAGTGCACCGTCGCGCACCTCAGAGACTATAAAAGCGTCATGATGCTGACAGCATCACGGTCAGAAGATGTGGCTGCATAACGGAACACTTCAGCTTACGTCATATGTCAACCTTTTTTAAAGTAAAATGCTAGTAAGTTAATAAATCATGCAACTCTGAGGCTTGACTAACTACAGGACAAGGGGAATTTATGCATCCACACCTGCGCACCAACAGGAAGTAAGTGAAAGAGGAGGATAACACCGCCGCCAATACAGAGAAGCGGTCTCTTGCGCAGCAGCATGCAGAGCAACAGCAGCGCCTCCGGACCGCTGGCCGCTCTGTGCGGGGCAGAGGACGAGAGCGAGATCTCCAAACTTGTGAGCCCTTCGGGAGCAGCCTCTAATCTCGCAGCTTTTAACCTCTCACTGAACTGCTGGCTCCACATCCTCTCCAAGGAGTCCCCGCTGGACCTGCACGCAGACAGCGCAAACCTGGCAGTAGGTGAAGCTAAGGATTTCTTATACATATAAATTAATAAGATCTATAATTTTATTTCGCACGAATCACCTCAGAAGACCATGCACAGGGTAAAAAAGTCAAGGTCACACTGAACTAATTAAAGAAATACAATGAAGTAGCCAGTGCTTGAATTGGAATAAAAAAGGTGCCAGTACTCTAAATCAGCAACAAGTATTTGGCACAAAGTCATAGTATATCCTATAATGCTGGTGGGTTTGTCTCTTTACTGTATATTTTAGAAAGGCTCACTGTACTTAAACAAAATGACTCAGGGTGCATCTGAGATTAGAGGGGGTGCAGTGGTAAAATGCTATTTTTATAAATGGGGAGTGGACCTGACACCCTCTAGTCTAGGGGGGTCCGGGGGCATGCTCCCCCNTACAAAATTTAATATTTTAGCTTCCCCAAAAATAATAACAAATGTCGTCCCGCATCCCCTTGGAAAAAGGAAATTTAAACATGTTGTAGGAGGCTCCCGGCATGTTTAATAACTTTGAGTTTGGAGACGAACGTTAATTTTTTTGATTTTAGTGTCGTGGTACGTAAACCGGAAAGAAATGTACGACGTTTCTTTTTTGCGTTGGAAGATTAGGTCTAATGTATATGGTACTGAGTATCAAGACTGCGTACGTACTCGTACACGTGTCCAACACCGTACTGGTGGTTTGTCTGTCTATTCTATGACCTGTGTTCTTACTCACGTTTGCATACATCATATGATAGGTATTCACTTGTACTAAATTCACCCCCCCTGGGATTGAGGAGATCCCCCCAAGGTCCCGTACGAGGTGGCGCCTTTCTATTAACAAAAATTTATATACTTCAATTTTCGTAGGTTAGCCACGTGAACTTCTCGTTGTACTCCTCTGAGCATTTTTCTCTAATACTCATGTAGAGAGTTTGTGGGTAAACCTTTGTTCTTTGACATTGTCTAAAAAGAAAAAAACTATAAAATTTGTTTAGTGAGAGGAAAGTTTTGAGATAAGAACAATAAAAATTGTTAAAAAACAAACAATGACAGGTATATCATAAAATATGGACAAATTATTAAATCAGAGTAATTATTGATTTATTACTAGTACAGTTCCACATGACATTGGAGTGACTCGACTCCAAATAAACTCGGAGAGTCCTCTCTCGAGAGGAAGGTGGACCACATCTTTTCGAGAAATTTAAGTAACGTTATCGATTGATTGGTCTACGATTATTGTATGTTCTACCGTAAACACGAATTGTTTGATTTCTGTTGTCGGAGCCGTTTGTGACGCCGTACACACTCCGAGGGATTACCCATGATCGTTATAAACTTCTCGACCTCGCCGTGCAAGGCCACGAGAGTGGCAATGAGGAAAGTCTGCTCTGGTAGTGGTGCCTTCTGTTCAATGGCGAGCACAAACACCAAGTTACTTGGAGAGGACCGGTCCTTTTTTGTCCGTGAGGGAACAAAATATAATAAAACGCTAGATCTACAGCAAGGAAGAAAAAACTTCACTTCTTCAACATGCAGCCAGCCTTAACTGCCTGACTGCCTTGGGGGGGGGGGTTTTTTTGGTTTTAGAAGCCAAGAGGTGCTTAATGTGTTCAGGTTGGTTTAGCGGCAATTTTTTCGCACTCCGCGGCTTTTCGCTGATTAAACGTAAGCGACATTCATGAAAACGGCATGAATCAAGAGTAAGTCTGAAGAAAATCAAAACCAAACGTTAGGCCGGGTCGTTAGTCTGTACCCTTGGAGAAAAGAGGGTACTTTCAGATTCGTTCCCTGACTTTTTCCCCCACTTTTCCAGGACCCCTTTTCATGAGCCACACTTTCGCGGAATTAAAGTCTTATTTATAACTCTTAACCTGTCATAATAAAAATCCTAAAGCATTACGCCGTTGTACTAAATTTGGGTCCTTTTTTCGACTTTTTACCCTTTTCTTTTGTTTTATACACAGACTATTGATTAGACAAGAGGATGAACCGCAAGATTGTCACAACTATTAGCTAAACAACACACCTAAATAAATAAACTAATGTTGTAAAGGTTTTCCCCCAAAAAAAAGGGTCTAGGGATTTACACTACCCAAGTCTTAAACTTTATAATAACACAAAACCTGAGGAACCAACATTGTTTCGTCATTACTTCGATTGTTGAAAACCCAAATCCTGTAAGCTAAAAAAATCCTAAAAGCTTTTTACTTATCAAATAACTACTTCCCTTTTCTGCCATTTCATTAACCGTTTTATTTCAATTAATTCACGTAGGGAGTTTACAAAAAGTTAGTCGCGAAACAAGTATGTCACATCTCAAACTAAATTACGACACATGAAATTACAATTGACAACATCCGTCTTCCAGTGCAAACGGACCCAATATCAGGAAACGACAGTACGGAAACGATTGTACATATTTTTCTGTTTGGTCCGCAA